TGAGATTCCTTGTAGCCAAAGCAAACACAGAAAGATATTAGTTCTTGTGATGAATATGATGCCCTTTGAAATATGTTGTAATTATTCCAATACTCTCTGAGGTAAGAATCTATATCTTTTATATTTGAAATGAAGAAATATCTTTGCAGAGTTAAACTGTTTATCTTAACTCAAAACCTAGTGAGTAGGTTGGCATGACAATACACACCCATAATCTCATTACTGGGAAGGCTAAGACAAGAGGATCACAAGTTCCAATCCAATCTGGGCTTCATGGGAGACCCTGTACTAACAAAACAACACAATTAAACAACAACTAATAAGTGTGAAAGCTTATATTCAACTCCAGTCTAATACTAATGCCCACATCAGGCCACTCATCATCCCACACACAAATGGGAGCAGAGCTTTCTCCCACCTCTCTTAGGTCATACCAACATCCATGTACATGTGTTGAAACTTTTAGTTCATGAATGTGTTCCCTGTACATGAAGATTTATCCTGGCATGCAGCTCTGTAAGTAACTGGTTACATGCATTACTAAAAGGGTCATGAGCATACACAGGTTTTAGGGCCCTATAGACTTAGGTTAGCATTAAGTCCCTATATGTATCTAGTTCCCTCAACTATGAAACAAGGGTATGGTAAGGAAGCAAACAAACAAAACTGTTGTTTTACTTTGACTATAAATAAAACTCACAATTGATATCAGTCAAAGTTTTCTATGGGGTTAATAGTTTAATTGTCATATTTAAGGTGGCTTTTAAGCAGGTAAGTCTGATAGATGTATATGTCATTTTAACAAAGAGTGATAAATAGTAAGACACAACTGTAACAGGAATCTTAAAAAGTTATTATTAATAAAATCAAACCTGAGCCAGGTATTGGGGTGTACGCTGGAAGATCAGAGAGACAGAACAGGCCACAGCCACCTTACCTCGCAAGTTCCTCAGTTGATCTTGTTCCTCAGACAGGATGCCTCTGAGTCCTCATCCAGAATGAATCTCAGCTGAACTGCTACTCACAGCCTGAAAGCTTAACCAGGCAAATGCTGCTAGTTTCTGGTCTTTATGCCTTATATATCTTTCTGCCTTCTACCATCACTCCCTGGGATTAAAGGCTTACTTCTGGGATTAAAGGTGTGAGTCACCATGCTTGGCTGTATCCTTGAACACATGGATTTCTGCCTCTGGAATGCTAGGATTAAAGGAGTGTGCTACCACTGCCTAACTTCTATGTTTAATATGGTGGCTATTCTGTCTCTGACCCCAGATAATGTTTATTAGGGTGCACAATATTTTGGGGAACACAATACCATCACACACAACAAATGGCCTTTGTATTTTTAAGGGCAATAACTTGTAGGAGGTTCCCGGGGGGTGGAGTAGGGCTGAAGAAATGGCTCAGCAGCTGAGAATACTTGCTGTACTTCCAGAGCATCCAAGATCAGCTTCCAAACTCACAATGACCTGTACCTCCATCTCCAAGAGATCTACTTCCTTCTTCTGGACTCTGTAAGCCCCTGCACCAGCACACATGTAGCTTTCACACATGCACACACCCATGTGCGCACATACACACAAATAAAAATAATAAAAATGAATCTTTTAGAAAGTTTCAGTTTGAAGCTAATCTAATGAAAAAAATATGAGCAAGCTGTGTTATACAAACCTCTATCAATGCTGACCTTCTCCTGCCAACATAATAGTTGCTTGTATACTGTGTCCTGTGTCGGGTAGAGAAAAGAGAGTTTCTTGGCTCTCTAGAGGGATGACAGAAGGTTCTTTTGGACTACTTTTTAACTGCACTTAGCACAAAGCAATCACAATGCTAAGGTGACACCAGCTTGGTCTCTTCAGTGCCAACACAACTGATCAAACATTAGGACTAGGAGGTCCACGTGGGAGACATCTAACAAAGGGTGGGTGCTGAATTAACACTGCCATCATCAAAGAAATCCCACCAGCTTTGACCCTGTTGGGAAACTATTGAGAAAGAAGGGGTAACAACACAGTCACTAGAGGGAAATTCAAGTTCTCCACAGGTTTTCCATTATTCTTTTACCAAAGTAAAATTTAACCTCTTAACCAGATCATAATTCTTACTCTTCCTGACTAGTGCTAAGGAAATGAGGCTGCACCCTTCTCATTCTGATTTTCCCTGAACATTCCCAGCAGGCACAGAGTGCTTTCACGGCCTGATCCTCTCTCACTCTTTGGTCATCTCAGCAAACCAGCCAGGTCCCAGCAAGACAATTCCT